GAAGACTGCAGTAATGATGCTGAAAATACAGCTGCGCATCACAGAAATAAATTACAGTTTAATGTATATTCAAATAGAAAGTGGTTATTTTAAATAGTAAAAATATTTCACTATATTACTGCTTTTGCTGTATTTTGTATCAAATAAATGCAGGCTTGGTGAGCAGAAGAGACTTCTTTAAAAAACATTAAAAATCTTACTGTTCAAAATCTTTTGACTGGTAGTGTATATTAAAATGTTTAATAATTCATTCAAATTAATTAAACACTTTTAAATAGACTGCAGCAATCATATTTTGCCACACATTATTTTGTTTAGTTCCGAATCGTGGGAGAATCGTGATCTCTATTTGAGACAAACAAAATCGTGATTCCCAAATTATCCAGAATCGTGCAGCTCTAACAGCCACCATTTAAATGTTTATATATATATTTTTTAAAAACACAAATTGAAGTAGAAATAAAAAAGTAGAAATCTAACTCTAGCACTCTCTACTCTAATTCTATTCTTAAAAAAAAAAAAAACTTGCCCCTTTTAGCACTCTATTCGTTTACTAACTGCTTGTTTTCTTAAAAAAACAAAGCAACACTAGCTTCTCTAATCTTTTTGTATTCTATCTGTTTTTCTTTTTAATTATTATACAATTAGAAAAAGCAAAAAAAGCCTCTAACACTAGCTAAAAAGCTAAATGACTAAATGTAAATATTATGTAATTGTAACTTTTATTATAAAAGCTTCATTAAGTGTAATTTAAGCAGTTGTATAGCCTAAAAAAATCCGTCAGTTTTAACCTTCAATATTATAATGTAGTACCAACTGACCCTCATATATATTTTACAGCATTAGTTTAGAAAATCTTGCATGTGTAACTGATATATATCCAAAACAATCGATATTGAATGGAATCGCAAGCTTGTGAATGAGAATCGAATCGAATCGTAAAATTTGTGTCACCGTCCCGCCAACAGGACACCTAAGTTTACTTCAATATATTACCATTAAATCCTAATCTAATCAAGACAAACTATATGTCGTTGGAAAGGTCTAAGACTCCTAAATAGATATTTTACCACTGTTTGTTGTTAAAAATGATGTAGGAACAGTAATAGATTGATTTATGACAAGAGTGCACCTCAAAACATATACATCATAACAGGAGTTCAAAAATTATTTTTCGTTTCTATTTTCCCTATCACATGTTTTAGTAATAATCATAAATTATATATCACATGAAAGCTTAAAACCTCAAAATTCATCCTGTGAAAACCATTTTGAAATCGGACATTGCATTACCATGGAAATGGTACTTTAAATATTTTAGCAGTCTCCTCCCTCTTAGTGGGAGGAGTCATTTTATTAAATGTATTACGGTCTTTTAGAATCAAAACATTTTATAATCTTGACAAAATACATATCGTTGGAAAGGTCTGAGTCTCAAGATTCCATATTTGGTGATAGATTATTAGGTTACTAATATCTACTATATCTACTAGGATAGATTAGGTATTTTGTGATAGAAGTAATATTGAGAGAGAAATGTAAACATTTGTGACAGAAAAACGCATACAAAAAAATTAAATGGCGTTTGAGTGTCACCCAGTGGCGGTTTGTGGTATAACGCCTACACAAAATTGCACAGGAACGTCAATTTTTTTAATATCATCTTCAAACTTTTTTAGACATATGGCTTCAATTTTATAGCAATTTAGGATTAAAACTATTTTTAAAATATGTATTTTATATAAAATATAATAAAAATAGTATTGTACATGTTCTTTACAGTAAATTTGAACTTCTTATAACTTTTTTTATACTTTCATTTTTTTTAAATGATTTCACTTCTGCAATAATCTGCTGATTGTCTTCTTTAGAAAGAGACCTTAGTTCTGTATTCAAAAGCGTTCATGAATTATAACATTTCAGTTTGAATAGTGCACTTCACGTCTGTGTTCAAATGAATAACGTTCTGATGATCCGTGTTTGTTTCAGGACAGAAACTACACCATCCACCTGAACCACACGAGTCTGCTGAAGGCCGTTCTGATGCACAGCGGCGTCCCAGAAGACAAGCTCACCCAGGCCTCCAACATACTGTGTGACGCCATGGTGATTAATATCAATTCATATTAATATAACTTTATAGCAATTTAAAGTCAAATGCATCAATCTGAGAGCGAAATTATGAGCTTTTGAGCTGTCTTTGCATTTACTTGACCTGGACTTTAAAGCGTACTCGGGTGTCTCTTTAGTTGCGATAGTGTCTCACTCCATTACTTCAATTCAGTTTCTTAATTTCCACTTTTATTTTTATAATTTCCTCCAAAAATCGGCTTGCATCTCACTCTCGCATCAGTACACATAAATACACCACATCAATACAATGCAGTATGGCAAACACCAATGATAACATATATATTACATTCACACTGGTGTTTTTAGGGAGGCAAACAATTGGAATATAATGATTATAACTATAAATGATTATTATTATCATTATTGTATCATTGTCCTTAAGACAGTAATTCCAGGACATTACCATATTATGATAATACTATTTCAATATTATTGTCATAATACAACTGTACTGTAAAATAATAAATTAATATTTTTTTATAAGTGCAATATTTATTGGAAAATAAGTTGCATAGGGTCAAAATTGCATCGTTGAGAGAAAAAAAAAACATTAAATTTTTTATTGCAATTTTACTTTTTTTTTTATTATATTCAGTTTTACAAAGTTGAAATTATTTGCATATTTTAATTTTGCATTATTATGATTTTTTTTTTAATTAGTGTTTTATTTTTATTTTAAAAATATTTATTTTAATTCTACATTATTCTGATTTTAATAATTTCATATACCATATTTTCTGAAAAACATAACACTTTATTTAAACATTTTATTATTACTTTCATAAATAATGCAGAATACTGGTAAATAAAACGAAACAATTGCAAACATTATAAACACCATGTATTTTAGTTCCGGTCTCTCCACAACAAGTCCTTTACATTTAACAGCATTCAGAACAGGAATGAAAAAAAAAAATTTAAAACACTCTAATTATAGTGTAATTCAGCTTGTATTATAAACACCGAAAGCATGTGGGAAATGCGCTGTATAAATAATCCAAATGCATGTTTTGCATGCTTGACTTCAATTGCATATAAATCTCAGCACATTATATTATTATCTTTACATTGCTTAAGTCTTCATTTCTTAACTTGCAAGCATTGAACCCTTGAGCTGTTGTTTTGGTGGAAAACTGCAGTTTCTGTGAAAGTAGTTTTACAGATGTGTCTAATTGCACTGTAGATAATTAATGTAAACGATGCACAGAAAACATGTGGAAATAAAAGGCACAAAACTAAACAATAAGAGTCCGAGAGATGGTGGAAATGATCATGTTTTCAGTGCAATGCAAATGTCCGCATCAAAAGAAATTTACAAAAGTCACATTAAATGTAAGTAAAGTGTCTACTTTTAAGGTTTCAAATAAGTTTTTGGAGGATAAAATGTTACAACTTGGTTGAAACAATGTTACATTGTCATTCAGTGTAACACGATATTTATGCAAAAATTCAAACGACATGCTTATTCTGACGTGTACATATTAAAATATATAAAAGAATAAGTGAGCATATTAAATTTTACTGGGTTTTTAAATGAGTAAAAAATTCTTATTGACCAAATGGGCAAAACCTTGCATAGTGGCAAATTTAAAAAATGTAAAATTACAACTAATTAGTATTTGGGGTGAAAGTAATTAGTCTTTTAATATGTCATAAATTGATTTTTGTTGTAAATATGCCTGACAAGATTGTTACACTGAATGGCATTTTAGTGGCTCTCTTCTGTAAATCAGGGGAAAATGTTTGATATTTATTTTTTGCTCGGAAAAACAAAAACAAAATTGCAATTAAATTAAACCAAAAACGTTTTAAATTTTTTGGGAAAAAGCAACAACAATTTAAGCGGCAGTGTTCAGGTTCAGCGGGTTCATTCTGCTCTTACGTAACCTGGAATATATTTCTGTCTCTGTCTTTCTCCTTCACACGCAGAGTGAGAAACTGACGAAGCGCGAAGTGGAAGCCAAATTCTGTAACCTGTCCTTGTCCAACAACAGCGTAAGTCACTTATTCAGCGCCAGAGCACGATTCTCTCGACTCTGATCCTCCACAGCTGGAAACCTTTCTCTGTTAATGCACAAAAGTGTTGGGTAACACGTGAAGCCTTTGTGTGTAATGTGTTATAATGCTATTCATAATGCAAATGCATTACACTTTCTAAAGGTGTAACAATGAATAGATAAGTATTATAATGCATTATAACTGTTATTGCAGTTATTAATAAGATGCATTGTAATGTGCATTACAAGGCACAATTAATGCATTAAGAATACGTGTGTGTGTGTGTGTGTGTGTGTATATATATATATATATGTATATATATGTGTGTATATATGTGTGTGTGTGTGTGTGTGTGTGTATATATGTATATGTATATGTATGTGTGTGTGTGTGTGTGTGTGTAAAGGCTTATGTTGTTCACACGTGACTCAAATAAGTCTTTTGTTTAAAACATCAGTTGCAGACGCTGTATAAGTTCATCGAGCAGAAGGGTGACCTGCAGGAGCTGCTTCCTCTCATAAACTCGCTCACCAAACAGAAGAGTTCAGCCGTCGCTCAGATGGCCAAACAGGGCCAGAAAGATCTAGAAGAAGTCATGAGCCTCCTCAAGAAACTGGCCGTTAAACTACAGGTCAGGCGGACTTATTTTTGGCATCTTTTGACTTTATTAATATAGGATAGTGTAGAAGTGATATATGAAATGAGTGTGGTATTCAATATTCTTCCTTCCAGGGCTGCACGATTAATCGAAATACAACCAAAATGTGACTTAGGCTGTGATTTAATTAAATAAATATATGTGCTACGTGTTTCAGAGTGAAGCAGTTTTTCATCCAGGGTTGTTTAACTTACACTAAAATAAATGTCAAACAAATAAAAAAAAAGTACTTTAAATAAAATAGGCGTTAAGTGAAATGAAATTTTATATATATATATATATATATATATATATATATATAGAGAG